TCTAGGCATCGTCCTCGAGGTTGTCTCAGAAGCTGTCCCTGAGGTTGTTCTCTAGGCGTTACCCTCGAGGTAATCCTTGGAGTCGTCCTCTAGGCATCGTCCTAGAAGTCGTCCTTGAGGTCATCCTAGAAGTCGTACTTGAGGTCGTCCTCTTGGAATCGTTCTAGACGTCGTAAAGGTAACAGCTTCACTGGTCCTCCATTTTCACTTGAGGTGAAAGAGCTCTAAAATAGTTTTAATAATAAAACTACAACTGACCTGGTACCGGGATTGGTGGCGGCACAGGGAGTGGTGGAATTAATGGAGCTGAAAATAACATATGAAAAACAAAAAAGTTCACATAAACCTTCGACTGCACGCAGTTCTGTAGGTTAATGCAGTCTACAATGTGTAGTAACCTTTTTGTTTCACTGCTTTGAGGGTGTGATTTGACCAGTGCGTGCATGGCCTGCATGTGACGAAGGAGACTTTTAGAAAACCGTTACCGCATCCCGCGCTACGCACTACCACGGCCTTTGAAGCATGCTTTTAAAAGAGACCCTGACACTCCTCAAAATTAATTTTTTTTGCCAGGCGATTCATTGCGGTGTGAGAAGACTACCCAATCAATATTTTGCTACAGTGTCGCATATATTTTTAACAAAGTAAAAACAAAACAAAACTGCTCGAAACCGAAACTGACTGGGGAGGAAGAACATAGAGGAGGAGAGAGTTGGCGGAAGCCACGCGGCTGTGCAACTTTTTTTTCTCCCATCAAGGTTTTTGCAGCTTTTTGGAAGTCACAAAAAATGAATATCATATTTCTTTACTATTTCTAATACTGTGTGCATGCCTTCAATGACCCACGACTTTGATTATATTTGGTGGTTGTGTCTAAACCATAAAAAACGACTCGTGACCACTGAAAAAAGAGCGAGCGCCTCACAACGGCCGGTTCTAGATCGTCAGTTTCCGGGCGATAAGAAAACGAATTTCGAGCCGCGAATTGTTTTCTGGGTGGTTGGGCTCTCATATGTCATGTACAAATTAAAACCTCGACGAGCATAAATATCCTGTCAGTGTCCCTTTAAGCGTGTGTCCGAATGATATTGTGAGTGCAAGACACGCGCTTAAAAGCATGCTTCAAAGGCTCCAGTAGTGAGGTACGCAGAACATGGTAACGGTTTGCTAAAAGTCCCCATTAACGCACCCTTGTAGTGACCATTTCTACATTTTCTTGCAAAAATCAAATGTGGGGGCACTAAATGTATGCTGCAGATGGTATACACTCTCCAAGAAGACCACCACGATGGAAGCTGGTGTGACGTCCATGCTATGCCCTGTTTGATTGCTAAACCCAACGTTACTACAGTTGGGAGCAGGTAAAGAACCCAGAACAAGCTCCTTCCACAAAGCGCCCTGCACTCTTTTCACTTTAGCTGAGCAAACACTGCAGGGGGAACGAGTCCCTCCTTGCCTCCTCTGCAGCGTTCGCTCTGCTAAAATGGAAAGAACGGAGGGCTTTACGGCAGAAGCTGTTTCGTGGTTCTTAACCTTTCACTTACTGTCAGTGCTGTGTAAAGTACATCTACAAAGTACCTGAAGTAAAGTACAAAGTAAATTGGAGGTTATGCACTTCAAGTAAAGTAGTGAGTAGACCGAGTGCAATGTGCGTGAAGTACTATAAATACAAAAAAGTTAAGTACAAGTACATTTTATTGCCCTCTTTTGTTGTGTCCTTTGATTTCCTTATACAGTGTCTTTTTAAATTGGTATGCGTTGTCCCAGGGGTGATCGCGGTGCATCTGTGTCTCTCGGAAATGGCGGCGAATATTGGACAACGTCGAGTGGCTACAGAGTAATTATTTATCGAAATGGCGACATATTCAGATGCCCCTCCTACTTCTGATTTTGGTGGCACTTGCACTGGCTTGCGCCCAAGGGGGTGAAATGGGCTAGGAGAGATCATGACGTCAACCCCGTAACTTCCTCAAGCAATCCTCTCGTGGAGGAGTGTCCCCTCTTAATTTTCTAACATCGTCGCTTGCGCTGACTGAGCGAGAAGTAGCGAGATCTCAATGCTGGGAAAGCCGCCCCCCCCCCCAGTACAAACGGAGCGATGCGTCGTTTCCTTGCGTATCTGGTGAGTAGAATATCCATCCCAAAATTTCTTCAGAGTTGACAAAGCATCATTTTGCGATACAAATTTAGCAAGACCAAATTCGGGAGTGTACTTTAAGGTCAAAAATTGTACTTTCCTCGGAAAACACAGGAAAAAATACCTCAAGTATAGTACAAGTATATACTGAGACAATGTACTTCAAGTAAAGTACTAGTTTTCTAAACCTACCTGAAGTAGTATCTTAACTCCAATGTAGTTAAAAAAAATACTTCCCAACATTGCTGACTATAGATCAACTCAGTTGCACAACTCATATAGAAAGCGGTTGTCTCTAAACTCATAATGGTTTGGATGATAGGAGGCCAACCTTTGGGGGAGGGTGGCACTGCATGTGGAAACAGTGTCTGGGTTGTCCCACATAACTAAGTCGAAGTACAGTCGAATCTCGTTAATTCAAACTTGAAGGGGACCGAAACTTTGTTTGAATAAAGCAAAGTTTGAATTACCGGGAGTTTCCTCCCATAGAGACGCATAGGATGGAACCCACATGTTAGTTTGAATTATCCACAAGTTTGAATTAAGAGAGTTTGAATTAATGAGAGTCGACTGTACTGTTGTTGCGTGAACCTGACATTGTGAAGGTGTGCTTCATGAGAAAAATCTATACAATTTGGAGATAATATGGCTGCAAGCAATATAAAAAGAAAATTAGGCAAAATTAAAAATTAAAATAGTGCCAAAGGGACATGAGACAAGTAGTAGTAGACAGCACCTGTCCTTTCTACCTCGTGTCCAGTGTCTTACTTGTGAGATTTTAATTTTGCATCATGATAAAATAACTAGGTCAGCAAAATACTCTATTAAAGTATAAAAGAAATCCAAGAAAGATATCCTACCCTCCCCATGATGGTACCCTTCACTGTCGTCCGAGTCGGATTCGACCCTCTTGTGCGTTCTCCTTCGTGTCCGCGGCGGAGCGTCAGACTCAAGGTTCGACGTATGCTCTGCCTGATCCAGCCTTGCGAGGGCCTGCTCTAGGGTATCTAAATGACGAGGAATTGTATGAATATCGGGGTCACATTAAATTACAGTTATGTGCTTACAGTATGAATGAATAATTTTGACTCTCAGTGCTTTCCAATCGGGGGTTATGGCCTCGTTTCTCCTAACCGCATTCACAATCTCCAGTTTGGTGGTGTAGGGGGGCCAATGGCACCACAGCAGGTTCTCCGACTTTTCGAGCCACCAATCGGGCACAGCATACGTGCTGCTGTCAGCTAGAAACTCAACGACATGGTACCTGTAAGTGAAGTGAAAGTGAAAGTTTATTGGGATTGTCACGGGCCAAGCCCGGTAGGGAGGTAGTGGCAAAAGGCATTTCTGCCTGACTGGGCCTCTACCCCCCACAGTTTACAGAAGTGCAAAAGGTGGCACGGTATACAGCATTGTTAGCATTCTTTTCTGCCTAAATATACATGCCTGTGTATGTAAAATACCATTTCATGCAACACATAAAACAAAAACATAAAATCTGTGTAAAAGTATTTAAAAACATGTATACTTTTTTTTAGCAGAGTAAATTAAATAATAGCACCAAGTCTCGCTTTACTTTCAAGTTGCACACATGGATCACTTGAGAGCAATGGCACAGTTTAAAAAAAAAATAAAAGATTAACAGTTCCAAAAAAAAAAGTTTGGTGTAAAATCAGATTTTTCTTTTTATATATAGCAGGCAAACAAAAGGTATTATGTAGAATGCGATTATTTCCCTCAAACTGTTTCCATCATACGCTCCCCATTAACTACTTTTAAATCACTCACTGTGCACTCAGGGCATTGAATTTGGACACTGCAAATGCTAGTAATCTCAGTGGGAAATTTTCAAGACAAGGAAAAACTGCTTTTTGCATGGGCTTTGTTCATTCTATTCTATACACATTTAGTTTGAGTAATATGTGAAAAGCAGATCATATGCACAAATTTAATCTAGAACCATACACAAAGTGCCATTGAAACATAGCCGCTGGTTATATCTCGAAATGCGCGCTTAGCACATCAAAAACCTCTATTAGGCTTTTATAATGTAGGCCTACATTAACCATGCATTAGAGTTGCTCCTCTCTGCCAAAGGTTTTTAGACTTGGCAGTTTTTTTAAAAAATCTATTTTGAAATTGTGTCCAGAAAAATAAAAATGCATGCTCTTTGAGGATTAAGGAAAGGAAGGCTCAGGCACCAGGTGTTTTTTCCTTTCTCATCCAGAGCCATACATGTATGTATACATACCATTCGTGTGTGTGTGTAGGGGACTTTTATAGAGCGACACCCGGCACGGCTGTTCACCAACACTGCCGTAAGGCCGCATATGCGCAGTAGCTACGTGGGCAGAAGCAACCAGGCTCTCTGTTTTCGCCATTGCGTTGTGTGGAGTGTGCTCGTTGTTGACGTTGTAGAGGCGCTTCTAGATTTATTTGTGTGTCATACATCCTGTCAACATGTCGTATATTATGCCCGACTATTTGAGCTCGCTACCCGACCTTGAACGGTAGTGGTGTCAAGACAAACTGTGTGGATGGCATTGCCTTCCAATGATCCATACGCCGTAAACAAGACCTGCTGGACTTCCCACGTGAAGTTACTGGCACCGACATCAATGGCTCACGTCTGTTATATATTGATTGTTATCGATTGAATCAGACCCCGACCCATGGATTCAGACGGGCCGCAACATGTGTGTGTCCCACACAGCTAGGCCTGACTTTTTATTCACGAGGGCAAACCGCCACTAAGAGGGCGCCACTAACATGTCGATATATATATATAACATGCCGCCACACAAGTAACAAATGCACAAAAATAAAATGTCCGACTGGGTTTAGTACAAGAACCTTGATGGAATCTTCACAGGTCTTCCTGAGCGAGTCTGGCGGGGTTGAGCTTGTGGTGGCGAGTCTGTTGCATTGGACTGACGAAGGGAGGTGCTGGCAGTGGGCGAGGAGTCTAGAGGATAGTAGTCCTCAGCCGTCAGTCGGGGTTTCCTCGGGTCAGCTTTCCGGTTGGGCTTGGGCTCTCTGGAGTCGATTCTCACACGAAGGTGATGGCGGTTACGTGCGTAGCTCTGGCCATCTGGCGATGTCACCTGGTATCTTCGTGGAGCTGGACCCACCTGTGTCACAACTGCTTTTCTCCAACTTTTTCCATGCCAAAACCAAAATGGCTGGTTCTTCTGAAAAGGAGGCATCTCTTTCGCATGCTGATCCGCATGTTTATGCTGTGCACGCTGCCTTGCTTGAGGCTGCTTGGAGAATGACTTGTGTGGATAGTGTGGCAGCAAGCTGCTTGGACAGGCTGGTAATAAAGTCCTTATTCTTCTTCCCATCAACATTTCTGCCGGAGATGGAAGACCGTTACTTGGCGTTGCTCTGTAGGTCATCAACACTAGTGCCAAGTCCTTTCCTTCGGAGAGAGCCTTAGTCATTGTGGCCTTGATGGTTTGTATTGTCCGTTCTGCTTGTCCATTGGACCTCGGAAAGAGTGGTGACGATGGGTTGTGGACGATATCCCACTCCTTGTTGAAGCTTCTATACTCCACAGAAACAAATGGGGGGCCTTGGTCACTGACAGCTTCACTTGGTGTGCCGTGGCGCGCATACAGCTCCTTGAGCACTGATATAAGAGCAGATGCCGTTGTAGTCGACATTTTCTTGACTTCCACAAACTTCGAGTAATAATCTACCACAAGCAAATAAGTGGTGCCACCGTGGTAGAAGAAATCCATGGCTACTTTCTCCCATGGGCGTATTGGCAAGTCTCGGTCAAGAAGTGGTTCTCTTTGATTTGCTCCTTGGTGGCGTTGACAAACTTCACAGCTGCTGATCAGCTCCTCGATGTCCTGGTTTATCCTAGGCCAGAAGACGCTTTGGGAAGCCAGGTTTTTGCATGCGACAATGCCGCGATGGGTCATGTGAAGTCTAGAGATCACATCCTTCTTGCATGCTTCTGGCACTACTAGTCGTTCGCCATAGCAGATGAAGCCATCGGTTATGTAGAGCTCACTTCTTCTTGAGTAGAAGGGTCTGACTGACGGGTGGACCTTTGAGATTTTATTTGGCCAACCGTGCTCGATGTAGGTCGTTACACGCTTCAAGACCTCATCTGCTGCCGTGCTAGCTTGGATTTCAGCCAGCTTTGCTGTGGATGCGTGAACCAATGTGCAGACCAGGACACCATGTTCCTCGTCTACTGTCTTGATGGTCTGCGCTGGATTAGGTGCACGAGACAGTGTGTCAGCAACTGTCAAGTGTTTTCCAGGCACATGGACTAGCTTCACCGTGAAACGCTGGATACGAAGGAGCAAGCGTTGGAGTCTGGGGGAGATTTTGTAGAATTCCTTTTGGTGCAAGCCGATGAGGGGCTTGTGATCAGTCTCCACCACGACGCTTCGACCACAGATGTAGTAGTAGAACTGCTCACACGCAAACACTACGGCCAACAGTTCCTTTTCTATTTGCGCGTAGCGCTGCTGTGCCGGCGTTAGTGCTGCTGATGCGTATGCCACTGGATGTCCGTCCTGCAGAAGGATGCTGCCAATTCCATATGAGCTGGCTTCGGTTGATATCACAATTGGTCGCGCAGCATTAAAGTAATGCAACACTGGAGCAGTGGTCAGGTTGTCTTTGATCTCAATGAATGCATTGGACATCTTGCGAGTCCAGTGCCATGCCACGTCGGACTTCAGGAGCTCACGCAGAGGTTGCGTCTCTGTTGAGAAGTTTGGAATAAACTTCATAAGGTATGTTGCCATTCCGAGAAATCGCAGGAGCTCTGCCTTGTCATTTGGTGGTTGTAAGGCCTGGATTGCCTTTACCTTTTCAGGGTCAGGAGCAATGCCTTCTCGGATAAGCTGGTGACCAAGGTAGGTTACTGTAGACAGACCCAGCTTGAGCTTGTCCTTGTTTAGCTTCAGATTGTTGTTGCGTGCTATTTCAAGCACCTTTCGCAGATGGGTTGCATGGTCACTCTGTGTTCTAGAGGCTACCAAGATGTCGTCAAAGTACGGCATCACAATGGTTTGGCGCTCGAAGATTCTGTCAATGGCTTGCTGAAAGAGCTCTGGAGCTGTGCTGAGTCCAAACGGAACTCTGAGGAACCTGTACCGACCCCAAGGTGTTGCAAATGTGCACAGGTACGAGCTCTCTTCATCAAGAGCCAGCTGCCAAAATGCACTTTTGGCATCAAGCACTGAAAACAGAGTGCACCCAGATAGCCGCGCAGAGAGTTCTTCTGGAACTGGAATGCGGTAGTGCTGCCGCTTAACTGCTGCATTTAGGTTTCTTGGATCCAGACAGATCCGCACATTTCCATCTTTCTTTGTGATGATGACAATGGGATGAACCCAGTCAGTTGGTTCTGTCACGGCCTTGATAATGCCATTGTCCTGCATTCTTGTGAGCTCGGCCTTCACAGTTTCTTCGAGTGCACTTGGCACCCGGCGAGGGGCAGTCACCGTAGGCTTTACATCCGGTTTCAGGCGAATGCTGTATTCTCCTGGGAGTTTGCCGAGTTGCGAAATCCCACTTCTGACACCATGTTATATATTGATTGTTATCGATTGAATCAGACCTAGACCCATGGATTCAGACGGGCCGCCAACATGTGTGTGTCCCACACAGCTAGGCCTGACTTTTTATTCACGAGGGCAAACTGCCACTAAGAGGGCGCCACTAACATGTCGATATATATATATATAACAACGTCGACGTTTATTCAGTTTTTTCGCCACGCCACTTCACAGCCCACATGGTGTAGGCGTACAGGTCTCGAGGCACACAATTACTTTGAGCCCCTTTCCGCGCTGCCGGTGGGATCAGCAAACTGTGGGTCTGCAGAAGTGCATTTACTAATTGATTAAATACACACAGCGTCTTTAAGTCAAGGTATGATATTTTTCTTACCCTCATGACCACAAGGCACGACAAAAGGTAACGCTTTTTCTGTTCTGTCGCCGGTCACCTTCCACTTACTATAGCTGTGCTGTAGGTGTTACCGAAAGAAAGTAATGAAATATGTTACTCGTTACTTGCAAATAAAAGGAATGCATTACATCCATTGATGTGAAGTAACACACACGTCACTTATGCATTTTTTATTTATAACTTAACAATAGCGGTGCCTTTTTTTTTGTGCCAGCATTTTTTGACATTGGGACAAAGGGCAGGGCATTGTTTTTTTGTTTTTTTTTAAGTGGGACTTTTTGAATAGGGAAAAGACAAGCAAAACGTTGAAGGTAGGTGAAATGTAGTGCAACAATTAATGACTTGGCGCCTATACTTCATATCAGTTTAAGCCCAGACGCAGCCGATGCTACGAGCTAACGGGACAAATCAAGCAACGTCAAAAGAGGAAGTCACTGAACCTTTCTTGTTTATGATTCATTCATCGATGATAGAACAGATACAGAAACATGACAAACACCATGATGGTGCGCTTTTGATGCTATTCAATTAATCCCATCAGCTCGTAGCATCGGGCTGAACATGAAACGAAGCATGAAAGCAAGCGTGAAAAAGAATGACTTTTTCCAGGTCTTGGGGAGATTATATAATGATTAACATAACTATGCTACGCATTATTCTTTACTCTCCCAAAAAGTAAGGAGTATAAATGACTATGTTACAGAAAAAAATAATGCATTGCCGCCAACACTGGTAGCGAGCCACCGACGAGCGCTTGGTCGGTGCTTTGTGCGCGAACACCGTTGGAACAAAATCTGGGTGGTCTCAATGAGACAACGGTTTCCCTGCATATAAGCAAGCCTCGAGACGGAGATTGAAATGGAACCACACTTGCATTCAAGAAAGTGCTTGCCACACAAACGGTCGTCCTCGTCCCAAGACCATTCTTTTCGATCCGCGGATATTACCACCTTCTACACCTTTCAGAGTCAGCCGAGAACTTGTGGAAGCTCACTCCGAGGAATTTTCTGTACCTTTCGATGCAATTAACAGCTACACAGCTTTGCCGCATGTTGAAATGCTACGACATCCATGCAAAACGCGCGCCCTTCTGCCACCCAGCTCCGGCGCGATCACAGCACCTCTGCAGCTCCGCGATGTCAAGCCCGACACGTGGGCTTGATGTCACGGAGCTGCGGCGGGCCAGTGCTGTTACCTTAGCAAGAAAGTCGCCAAATTTAGTGCGTTTTCAGTCGTCCTAACGACTTTTCTGTCTTTTTGGAGTCTTGGTAACTTTACTAAGGACTTTTATTTTTTTTTTACAGTTAGGTAAATTGTTGTTACTAAAGCTACATAGAGCCTCTCCAGTGGCTTTCAGATGACTGCTCCGGACGTCACTCATTTTTTTTTCCTCCTGTTGAGGGTGAGGGTGATGAGAGGTAGCGGTCATGCAAAGACATTCTCAAACCACGATAGAACCACTCCCCTTTTCAGGGATTATGTAGCAGGTGTTTGTAAAATCCTTTTTGAACGTCGCAAAAAAAAAAAAACTGCAGGTATTGACGCGAGCAGCTTTGTTTGACAAGTTATGGAACAAACCTGCTCACGACGGTTAAACTCCAGGACAACTTCAGTGCGGTTATCGAAGATAACCCCCCTTTGAGGATGAGGGTTTATAAAAAAACTGGTAGCTACATGAATTCAATGCAGTCTTTTGCTGTTTTGCTCCTGGTTCAGGATCTTCTCGCTAACGCCTTGGCGAGCTTGTTGGGAATGGGACGGCCGGCGGTTAGTTTCCGCAAATAACACAAGCGTTGAGGTTTGCCAACTTGCTGGACCTAGCGTTATTATGCCTCCCAAGTACAATCACCACTGTAGAAAAAGTTGGCAGTCTTCACCCGAGTTTAAAGGCTGGTTACGTTCTGTGGAAAACAAAAGCACAAAACCATCCTGTGCCTATTGTGGGAGCGAATTTTATGCGAAGCTTTCCGATATAAAAAAGTATGCCACCACCACCAAGCACTAGAAATCATCCAAACCGTACTACAGTTCTTAAGGGAAGAGGCTGCAGTTTCCAGCCACAACCGAGCCTTCTTGCGGCAAAAGTGAGGCCGGTTTCTGCCTGTTCATATGCGAGCATTAGCGATCCTCGCGACTGACCACCTGACAAAACTCTGCAAAAAACAGTTCATGGACGGCAAAAGCACAGCAGGCTTGTGCATGCAGCGAAACAAGTGCACGGAGATCATTGTGAACCTGTTCTCTCCGCACTTTGTAGAGCTCTTGGTGGCCGACATTGGGGACTCGAAATACAGCCCGATCAGCGATGAGGCTACAGATGTTTTCACTACCAAGTTGCTGGGTGTAGTGGTGCGGTACTTTAGTGCTGCACAGAAGAGCATTGTGAGAATATTCATGGCGTTAACCAAACTGGACGATGGCACGGCTGTGGCTATCATCAGGCGTTGAAAAGCCTCCTCATGCGCATGAGACTTGACATGAAGCGTCTCCTCAACATTGGAGTTGACAACGCTTTGGTGAACACGGACGTAAACGGTGTTTTCAAGACAATGAGGCGCGAGTGGCAACTCCTGAGCTTGATAATGGCAAGACATATGTGCCATTCGTTGCAATTGGCACTTTCCCACGCTGTTCAGGGAACGCTTCTGAGGAACGCAGACTTCTTGGTGCAAGAGGTTCAGCGCGCCAACAAGGCCTACGAGAGGAACGACGCAGATCCTGCGAGGCTTCTTGAAGACCTCACACTCCCGATAAAGACGGTATGTAGCAAAGTGCTCACTCCAACGGCGGACATCGATAGCCCATTGATGGCCACCTAGATCCCAAGCCGTACTTGGGATACGAGTTCGAGAAACTAGTGAGCACGCTGCCAGCTGTTCCTGAAGCCAACTTGGTACGCCAGCACTGCGTTGTATTCACAGTTAAGCTAACAGCTTTGGCTGGACCTACCATCGAACTACAAGATATTGCAGGCCATGGCATGGCTGTCTGTGGGAGCGTGCCTGCAAGTGCTCAAAGAACCTATTATGGAGCTGGCAGAACTTTTTGGTGTACAACCAAACAAGATAGATCTCGTGGACACCCAGTGGAAGATGCTAACCGTGGTGAGTGGGCGAGCACCACTGACACCATTGCGTTTTGGTCTGAGCTCCTTGCATACTGCGATGCAGCTGGCTCGAACCAGTTTCACGAACTCGCGCACCTAGCGATCATTGTGCTCTCCTCGCAACACTCAAACGCAGAGGTGTAAGAGTCTTTAGCCAACTGAGCGTTGTGAAAACAAAGCAGAGGAATTCTCTCAGCACTGGCAGTACAAATGCCATCTTGAGCGTTCGTAGTGGACTTTGCCGTCTTGGGAAGTGCTGCTATACTTATGACCCTCCCGACACAGTGACAAGTTGGAACCATGCAAGCGTACTCCTCAGCTTTTGCATCTGGAAACGGTGCATGTGCACAAAGCAATGGCGAGTCTGCAGACGAGGAAACATTGTGATATAGAACTGTTGCTCAATTTCTTGCGTATAATACATTTCAGCGACTTGAGTGAAATGTAGTTTCCAATAAAATTATTTCATATTCTATTGTTGACTAGCATTATTGTGTTAATATATTATATAAACATTAGGTATTATCTGTGAATGCAGTAGGCTGTTGCTGAAAGCAAAGTAACAAAGTAAAGCCAGTAAATCTCCCTCGGAAAGGCACCATGGGAAAGATTCACGCACGCCAAACGTTTCACTGCCTCGCGAACGTTTCGGAAATATTTTCATATTCCGATTGATCAGTTCATTCACCACTGGAGAAAGTAATTTAAAATATTGTTTCAAATAACAAAGCCCTTTGCGTGTCTTATGCAGTTGAAGAGCTAAAAATTAAGCAATTCCGGAAAAAAAACTCGTCATGATCATCACTCGACTTTCAGCTAAAACTGGTCAGACGGGGCAACGTTTCCAGCAATTTTGAGGTTGCTGGCGAGTTGTTCCCTAGCTTTTCCTAGATCGACGAGAACGAGTGAGCAACTCAGTTGAAGCGGCTGCAGCCAATCAGAGACGCAATATTTTCACGTGACACCCCTGTAGTGATGATG